CCCATCCCACCCCAGGGGAGGACATCCATCACACAGTAATCTCGTGCGTGGGAAATTAACGTCTCCTACCCCTAACCCTGTAGGAGACGGGACCTCCATTTATTCGTCCCTATCCGAGAAGACTAGAATATCTAACCATTTCTTGATGTTATAGAAAGGTAGCATATTCTTCTCAATTATTTTAAGACCTTGAGTGTTGGTCCGGCCAGGGCTCGAACCCTCGACCTCCCGCACAGCAGTCCAGCGCTCTATGTATTGAGCTAACCGGAAGGCGGTTCTTCACGAGATTCCACATTTATCATATGCAGCAAGCCTACACGAATCGTCTACCCTGGCTAGCACATGTTTGTCACACAAATGATAGGTTTGAGTGTAGTAAAGCCAAAGTAATCAGAGCGGCCAATCAGAAGAAAGGAAAACATACTGAGAAGCAAAGAGAACTCAAAGCGCGCGAAAACGCGGGCGACCAAGCTGCGATTGGTCTTAGTTTGCATCTGATTGGTTGAGAGAGTGGTGCAAGTTTTGTGAACCAACCACAGAGCAAAGTAAAGTAAAACCAAAGAAACCCCGGATCACTCTCATCACTCAAATGAAAGTTGCTCCACAGAACAACGAAACAACTAGTGTACGGAAAATTAACTCGAGGTTCTGAGCCAACAGTTAGTTGACCGAAGCTAGGTCTCAAATACACTCGTGAGAAGGCCTTGAAGTGTGGACATGTTCAATTCTCGATAGATGACAATCTGCTGTGGATAACAAACAGGAATGAAGAGATTTACAAAAATTGTACTTCCTCAGTATGACAGTCAAAGTGTAAGGCAGTCTAATAAACGACGGAATATGAAGCGTAAAAAAAATTAAGAGAGACGTTAGAGTGTATTATACCCGTTTTCGGCTGCCACGTATGTTATTAAACACCTCACCTGTTCTCTGGTTGGTCCTTCATGCGAGAAAAAGCCACACGAGAAGAACTTAGGGTGCTGAGAAAAGACAAGTACAAGACAATGTTACCTGAAAGAACTTAGAGAATATGAAAACATAAAACTACAATGTAGTTGCATAGGTATTAAATGCCTTTTAGTTAGAATTTCCCCTCAAAATTTAACGTGGTCAGGCCTTTCTCTTTTTGTCAGTTTCATTGTTTCCTTACGATAAATCATTTTATTTTTATTTATTTATTACAATTTAATGGCTGAGTTAAAACAAAGTTATAAAGTACAAGCGAAAAGAAAAGAAACGCCATATGGATAATCCGTAAAGGAGTCCAGGACTCCATATGAAAATAGATCACCAAAGTTAAATAGGCTAAAAATATATTACTGTGTTTTAAACTAGAAATAATTATTATACAAATTCCACGGGATATATTAATTAGATATATTATCCACTAAATACTTCTTAGCACATGCCTTAAAACTATTTACACTTGCTGCTCTACGAGTATCAAAGGGCAAAAGATTCCAGGAATCAACTATCATAAGAAAAAAACTATATTTGAGAGGATTTGTTCTTGAGTATTTCTTCTTTAAAGATAAATTGTCATATTTCCTAACTGAATAATGGTCAGCATCCGAATAAAAATCAACATAAGAGTCAATATTAATGTAAATAATTCCGTTGAGGGCTTTATATAAAAATGTAANGATTTTGCAGCCTTTGCAGTTTTTTAGGCAGGCGTTTGTTACAGTTTCCCCACACTACATTGCTATAATCAAAATGTGGTTGAATAAGGCTATTATAAACTTTAATAATTAAAAAATTAAATGGAGTGAGATGCCGAATTTGTTTAATCACACCAAGGGCACAAGCTGTCTTCTTAGAGATGTTTTCAATATGACACTCACAATTTGTATTTTGATCGACATAAACTCCAAGGGATTTAGCGGAGTTACTTGTTTGATTGTATTTTCGTTAATTGTAATAGGAGAGGGACTTTCCGTAAATTGTTGCAATAAACATGAACTCAGTTTTTGTTATATTCAGGGTAACTTGTAACTTCTTAGGGCTGAGAAATTTATTGTACAGAGTAGATCTCAATAATTAAAGGGAAAAAAGAATGTTGAAAATTAATAAGAATTGAGCTCTAATTCACCATAAACTGTTTAATTCTATACCTCTGGTTCTCCACTGATGTCCAAATGATGACACCCATTTTCTACTGCTGCTTTCACTACTGGTTCCCCATAAAACCGATACTGTGAAACAAAACAGTAAAATAAAAAAATTCTTTTTTTAAGTAATTCAGCTCACTGGATTATACATTCTCTTCAAATTTGATTGGCTACTTATATGCCAATTTACCTAATTGGGCTAGACTGAGTCAGACATATTTTGAAGTTTCAACTAGATTTAAGATTATCTGAGAATCATGGACTGAACCACTAACAGTGTGAAAGAAAGACAAAATCCTCTTACCGGACCAACGCAGTTCAGAACAATCTTTGCTGAAGAACACATTGTACTGAGGGAAGCTTCATCACTACAGTTAGCAACCATAACACCAACATCCCCCACATACTGACCTACACATGCACCCCAACCTTATACCCATAAGTAATACCCATAAGTAAAATTACAAAAGTTACAAACCGCCTGGCTAGTTTAGGTCCAAACTTTGGCATTGGTGTTGGAAACAATTCTTTTCGCAGCTTTTTCAGATTTCCTTCCCTGTCACTTGCTATGCCATAAATGATTGACTGGTATGTCCCATAATGCCCCTTTGATCCCTGAAAATTCAAAAACATGCAAAATCAGATTTAACAAGAAAATGCTACACGCACCTTCTATGACATGAAAAGATAGCTTGTTGTACAGCTTACATTGTGTACTATCAGTGTGCACTTCAGACCAGGTTACTTACAGTCTTTGATGTGTAAAGCTAGTAACCAAAATGTTATCAAATGCCTTCCAATTACCTTAGGACCAGAATGCAGAGTCAAGAAGCTCTCCAAATGGCACAGTTCACCTAAAAGATATAACATTAAAGCATATTGACAAAAAGTAAAAACAGTATTCCAGACTAACTCCATAAATAAAATTAATAAGTAAGGGGTAAGTTTCTAAAGAAACTGAGGTGTGGTATTGGTGGAGGGCATTACAAGATAATTTATCAACTGAGTTGATAAATTAATGTAAATTGGCTTCTGCTCTGTTAAGAGTTTTTAGAGCTGATGTTTTGAGCTTTAATCATTTGCCTTTTACTCTGACCTCCCTCCCAAGAGACTTGTGGAATGTTTGTGAGACAGTGCATTAATGAACCTTGCTTTAATTTTGTGGTCTTCTTTTACAGCCACTGTGTCTTTCACCCCTCTATAGGATATGGAATACAGCCATTTTACTAAAATCTAAAGTATACTGTATAACATCTGCATAACTGTTCAGCACCTGGAAAACTTTCTTGGGTAAAAACCACGCCCATGTCAGCTGGGATGCTATCAAATCCACAAGTACCCACAACGTGAACTCCTGCACAAACAGCTTTGTCATGGTACTTGTGCTGCATTGTTTCCAGGAACTAAGAAAAGAAATGC